CCCCAAAACCCCAAAACCCCAAAACCCCAAAACCCCTAAAGTGAACATTAGGAATGAATATTAATAAATTGGACAATTTCAGTATATAGAGCAACCTTTACTTTTTGATTTATTAAAGTCTCTTTCTGTTTATTTCTATAAAAAGTCAAATTTCATTAAATTTACCTTGTATTATATGGCTCTCTCTAAATCCGTGTCTGAAAACGTTGAGTAGTTTAATACCTGGTTTCGTTTTACTTTTTGTGTTGCTGTCATGGAATTAGAGCTTTAAATGCTATTTAAATCTGATGTTTTAGAAATGAAATTATGAGCTGATTCGTTTTTCTAATGTTTCTAGGGTGAAATTGTTTTCATTAAGTGGTCTTCGTACTATTCACTTATTTCGAAGTTCATTTCGAACTGTGAAAATACAGGTCTATGATCTGATATTTTCAGATTGTTATTGCTATCATAGGATTTTTAGACTAGGACATCAACTTCCTTTGAGTTGTTACAAACTTTCTGAGTACTATAGATGATTCGATCTGTCCATCCAGGCAGTCTGTGAGTCATATCGTAGAGATCCTAATGCTTTTTTAATTTATAAGTCGGTGCAAATTCAATTTAGCCCTCCTTGAAATTCCAAGCGATTCTTCCAATTTTATGCTCAAATCCAAACTAATCATTATTAATGAGCACTTCATACATATTCTTCTCCATAGCCACTTTTATTGCCCCAGCCACACCATTTATTCGATAATTGAAGTCACCTAACCAAATAATACCATCAAACATTGTTGAAGAATCATTAGACAAAGTCACTTGATTCTTTGATGAGGAATCATCTTTTAATTTCAAAGCAATTCTTCGAAATATTTTAAGCCAATCCTAGTTTCTCTTTTCAATGTTATTATGTCCTGCAGCTAAATGAGCTGAGATACAAAGAATTCTGGTAGTTCCAATCTTAAAGCTTATGCCTACACCACCTTTATTTCCTACTATATTTGAAATTCCAGTGGCAATGCACTCACTTTCTACTTCTGAAATTATTGGAGTCAGCATGATATGAGCAAATATTATAAGGTGTGTAGCTCCAAGTGCGTAAGAACTGATATTCACATATTTTTAGCCCAAATAATCTTAAAGCACTCCTTCCCATTTTTCTTTAGAAGGAGCAAACACTGCTGAGGCAATCGATCTCTGACATTCTTAGGTTGCAATGACATAGATATCATGATAGATGTCTCTGGCTCTGAGAAGCTGCTCTACTTATTAATAATTAGGTAGTTAGCCATGAATATTCCAAGTGCAACTAAATACTTTAAGCTTTTTAGATTCATAGGGGTCATTATTTCCTGGTGTTTAATTTGCCCCTTAACTATTGAATGATTAAGTCAGTGACATGGGATCCCATTTCCACTATGCTAAAAGCGATTATTACTTATATTAATTGTACGTTATCGGCTGAGTCTTTCAAAGGATTGATAGACCTCATTAATTTGCTTCATTTAGTGGAACATGTTAACACTTTTGTAGAATTCACCATTCTCTTGATTTTCATATTGATATAAGGTATTAGGTTACAAATGAAGTGACCCAGTATCTCCTCCCTACAGTGATATCATTGGTTGAAGATGTTTGACAAATTTACATTTTGTTATATAACATTATCATTTTGAAATTCTTCTTCATCTTCTTCAGAGTTGTAATCTTCATTGAGTTGTCTTTGCACATCACTCTCTCTTGGTGAATCCTAGTTCATTGCAAAGTCATTGTACTCCTTGATTGTTCTTGAATCCAAATTATTGAAAGTTGACTGTATTTAATTCAAATAAAATATGTGAGATTACCTATCTCTCAATTGCTAGGTTTTCGTTATCATCAGATCTATCCACCCTTTCAAAATTATCCTAATACTCTAAAAATTAACTATCTCTTCATTACATGAGTCGAATTTCATATAGATTGGTGCCTTTTAGTGAATAGGAGGCAAAGAAGTGGTAATTTTATTATATGTCTAAGCATCATCATCGTCTGAGTTCATAGTTAAAGATTTTATAATGAAATTAAATTAATAATAAAGAAATTCTCTAATAAAATCATTAGCTATTTTTACTTTCAAACTCCTCAATTATATCGTTGAGATAATCAGGCATGGGTGTCTCTTTCGCACTTAGAATATTTTAACTTGAGTTTTCCGAATAGCCCGATAGCAACTATTGCTGCTACAGAAGAAGCACTTTTCTTTCAAAGAATCTTTTTACCTCGTTGGTGATTATATCTTCTCTTTCTTTTCCAAGTTTGTAGAAGTTGCAGAATTTCTAAACAGCTTCTGACTTATCTTCGTAATCTGAAATTTTTAATTTGATAATTTTGTCCTTCTTTATTTTTATGTCAAAAGTAAACATGTTCTTTTCACCTTTTCTATCCAACTACAAGATTCCTTCAAGATTCTTATTAGTAGACTTAAGTTTTTCTCTTTCAAAAAATTTGAAAGGGGAAAAAATTGTAGGTTATCCTGAGTAGTTTAAAGGTTTTCCCATATTATCCAAAATCTTCTTATTTTCCTCTTTTACTTCAATTGCTCTCTTATAACGGCTTACTTATTTTTCAAATCCTCTCGGCTTTTCAAGGTCTTATTACCAGACAGGTGTAGATTTTTCATCCTGCTTATTTATTTTAGGTTGAAAAGTACATTCAAACTCTTACTAAGAGTTTTCAATCACTTATTTTGCTGAATTATTTTTGCAATTACTGTGATTGATTTTATCATTAGAGTTATCTCTTGCCAAAGTAAAGTCGAAGTTATCCTAGCATTTAGAATTATTATTAGCATTTTTAGATCTATGAGATACTGCGGCCATTGATAGGCTTCTTTCACTTAATATTGGTCTAAACGTACACTCAGACATCATCTCATGAAGTATTTCTTCTTTTTTCTAATCTCTTCTATCCATGATATCCTTATATTTTTCTATCTAAATTCTAGAGTATCTAATTTTATCTTATGAAGTCTCATTTTTTAAACTATTTTTATCTTAATATTTTGGTTGATCTATGATAGATTTATGTAGGTGAGAAATCGACTTATCAATTTTACTATCAATACTTAATATAGATTCTTAAAGTCCTCCTCCTTTGTTCGAACTTTTAGTAGAAGTTTATTATAATTTGCTAAAATTAAGTCTAGCATTCATAGGAGTTGCATAAAATCTATCAGACACAACGTCATCATTATGTATACTAATACTATTTGTGGACGATTAGATTTAGAGTTTAAGTTTCTAGGAATTCAGCTATGGTGAAAAGGTGTAGTCTTTATACATATCTTGCAGATTCTATTCTTTTATTCTAGAGAGAATCCCTACTATCTTATACTTTCCTAATTCTTCATTTAACAAAACGAATTTTTCCAAAATTGTCTTTACTTAAACTGGATCAATAAATATCTCCTTATTGATTGTGAGTTTAGCATTATTTAAGAGTGATCTTTTATTATTAGAATCTAAAAATTCCTCATCAGTATCAATTTTCTCGACATTCCATTCCTATCTATTAAAAACTGCGCTCTTTACCCGATACATATTTTCAAGAAATTCCAGAAAAAATTATCCTGTAACCTATGTTTATTGCACATACAGCTTCCTGAATAGTGGGATTAGATGTCCTGACTCAATATAATCATTCATATCATCGTTAATAATTTAAAAAAAGTCTTCAGCTAGCTCTTGCTATAAAAGAATTAATTCTATTAAGGTACCTCATCTTAAAATCTTTCTTTTGACTAACTTTTCTGTCTTATCTAAAGGAATTATTGCTAACTAAGACTTGAGTCACCAAGGTATTTAAATGTCCCTAAATGATAGAATAGCTTGATCAGTTAGGGGTATTAAATTTTCTCATTATTTGATACATGCTAAAATACATTATCAAGATCTCTAAGTTTTTTATTGATTAAAAGCTGTTCTGTTTTTTATTAATGCTTCAGCTTAGTTTAGTTTTAAATATTTCCGGCCACTTCCTAAAATAATCAATAAACTAACAAAATACACAGTACTTTGATAGAAGTAGAAGATTCATCCTCAATAGGTTTTAAAGGAGATTGCTAGCTATATTTTTATTGGGGTTAAGATCAATCATTGTTTTATCCATACATTTTGTCTCTATGCTTTTAAGGATGCAGCCTATATAATTAAATTATTCCTAATAAATACTTTTACTCTGATCGGTTGGACATATACTTGTCAATGTAATCATCTTTTATGCCATCAACCTCAGTAATTTAAATGTCCAGGCTATCATGAGATAGATTGCCATCAAAAGATTTCTTTGATGGTGAGTTGTCAATATTGTAGAATGCGAAACTCTCATCATTAGGTTCAGGCATTTACTAAAGTTAGTGTGCAATCAAATGATGCTACTCAACATAATTATTATCTCTCATCCGAAATGACATTTTGAAAGGGCTACCCTCAGTAATATTGGTTGTATCTTTAATAATTGCTCTTTTGTGAACGGATGGATTAGCAACTCTATTGGTGTTGAGATCGGGTATTTTATTGGCAGCTTTGTGAACGTTAGTATCTGACATAGGTTCTCTATTCTCTTTCTGATCCATAGTACTCTCTTCTTAAAACTCCTCTATTGTGTCTAGAATGTTCTCATCTAGATATTGGTTGTCTGTAGCGTTATATTTTTAAACTAGGTTACCTTTATTTTGGTACGTTTACTCTTGTGACTAACCATTGAACGGAGACTTAGATTGCTACATCTTAATTTTAACAAATTAAAATTCCTGTTAATTAAACCACTCTAAATTTCATCTCATATTTTAATTCTTGGGGTTTTGGGGTTTTGGGGTTTTGGGG